GACTCACATGAACTGAAGTATTTGGATCATCTTCTTCACTTAATAACTGTACAATATTAGCATATTCTCTACTTGCTGCTGCAACTAAAGCAGTTTCTCCATACTATAAAAATAAGACCATAAATAATGTTAAGTGTGTGTACATGTACATGTAGCTGTTAATATTCCATTCAGCTCTGTTCCTTATATATGAACATGTGAACCAATCAATAGCTTTAAAAGTATAGAAGAGAACTTATATATGTACATGTATTTCTATATTTTTGTGCTCTAACTAAAATTTTAGTAAATTTTTTGGAAAAATGAAAATTAAATATTTATGATAGTAACTTTATAATCAATATGTGGAGTTATTATACAGTTATTTACAGTGTATGATTCAAAATTTTCAATTTTACAAAAATTACAAAAATAACTGAAGACAAAAATTTATAATTATTCAGTGTATTGACTATTGACATGCAGTAGAATACAGAGGATTGTTAGTTACAATTACACATATTGGACCTGTTATGGTTTTCTCATTCAAAACTGATAGTTAAGAAGGCACTGTGTATGGGTACATAAGTGCACATGTAATAAATCCTTAGCTACCAATGAAATAATGTGAGCAGCAAAAATTATAAATATTTGATGGGAATTTGATTTTAATCTTGTAAAATTGAATAAAAAATATTTATGGTGCATTAATTACAGTACATGATACTCACAATATTTGCAGTGCTTCGATCAGCTCGATTATTTAATAGCAACTGTACAATGTCATAATGTCCTTCCTCTGCTGCTACAATAAGAGCAGTATCTCCTTCCTATAATAACGAGATAATGATATCATAATAAACTCGTATTGCACCATAATTGCATAGTTGTGGGTGGCTTAGATCACTGCAGTGGTCTTTCTGGGTTAAAGTACATGTGGTACATGTACCTTTAATAACTAATTAATTCTTGCTGCATTAGAGCCTCTTGATAGCAATTAAATTGCTTGGTGGAAACTTTTGAAAAGTATTTTTAAATTCTGTAACATTCTCATTCCTCTACTGATGTTATTAATGAAATCACATTTTTATAACCTGGAGCCCATGAGATTTATATATTCTATACACATTATATTGAAAAGAATAACGATTAAGATGCTTTAATTACCAATCCACCCATGTCGTTTACATAAAGTGGGTATAACCAGCAAACAAAATGGCAGCTAACTCATGGAAACTTTCTAACAGCAAGATATCATATAGAGAGAGAACCTCTATAAGTCTTAATAAGAACCCAGCTATGCATGCAAGATAGTGAAAAATTAGGAACACTTTTACACTAATTAGTATTTCTAACTAAGGCAACGGTTAGTACATCAATTTCAAATTATAAGATACATGTACATGTACATGTAGGTACATAAGCATGTACGTATAACAATAATATTTAATGATATAAAACCAAATAACTTACAATGCTTGAATGTGAAGGATCAGCTCCTTTCTTCAGCAGTAATTCTACTACATCACAGTTTCCTCCTCTTGCTGCTTCAATAAGAGCAGTATCTCCTCTCTATAATAACAAGATAAGGATAGGTTAGTTTGTAATGTTGCAATTGCCCCAAAACATTTAACAAATAATAACATTTTAAAAGAGTAAAGCATTAAATATTGCAGTTTAAACACAATACCGTATAGCAGGAAATTTTGAAGGGAATTAAATTTGGCA